CATTTCAGGTAAGTTGGGGGGTGGGTGGGATTTTGCAATGTGACTGTGTTTCATGTTACACCCTAAATATGGGTCAGAAAGGTAAACTTGGCCTTTAAGCGATCCATTGAAGTACGTTAATGCCAGAGCTCAGATTTAAGCAGATAAGACATTTGCTGTTCGATCACGCGGTTGCAGCGTAGTATTAGGGATCAGAGCGCCGGTCACAGGTTTAGTGATATTTTCATTCTGCGAGCACCTGCTCCCCAGATCTCCCCGCCGCTACATCCGACAATGGCGGCTGCAGGTTGGCGGCATTAATGGCTATAAACGATTGCAGATAGCAGATTCCAGCTGTGCCCGCTGTGCAAGGGTGATAAGAGCATGTAAAACAGATCAGACACTCTATACGTCATCTGTGACACTGGGAGGATATTGTTATCAGGGATTAAACCAAACCAGATGAAATCTGATTTATAGAAAAAAAAAGTAAACCGTTTATATAAAAAAAAAACCAACTTGTCAAATATACAGATTTCTTAAAAAAGACCCCACATCAGAACAGCAATGCTGCTTATATGATTGTGAAGGCAATACGTGGGCGGTTTTGACTTGCTGCAGGCGTGTCTGGTGCGCATTTTACATGGTGACAATTACCATCCATAGTTATGGAAGGTGCGCTTTATTGGGCTGGGTTTCCTCAATACCCGCCAAATTGTAAATTGTTCATAGGCATGTAATCCCAAATACTGAAGTTGTTGCATTTTATATTGATGTGTACATGTTTAAAGGGGTATCTATAGTGAGGAACTATAAAATAAATCTGTATTTCTATATTGAATTTCCATAACTTCTATGCCACTCCTCATAACCAGATCCATCTAGAAGTTTGTAAACTTACTTATTGAAGATCCCCATAGGATGTACTTCCTCAATTCACTGACACAATTTCACTCAGCCCTGTGAACATTCACTCACTTGTGTCACCACTCAACGTCTGAACAATCTAACATTATCGTTGCTTGCTGGAAGCGATGCATGATGGGATACATAGTCTTGAGAAATCAAGATTGCATCACATCAAGCAGCAGGGGAAGAGACGCAAAGCACACTGGGAATCCAGGAGGTTTGTGAAAGTGATGGGCAGAAGGAAGGCAGCACTCACTACATGAAAGGGATTTTTTCAAGACAGCTTTGGTTGGATTATCAACAACAACAACTCTCGTATGTATTCCTAATACAATGCTGATGTTATAACAGGAAAGGATACAACTCCTGCAAAGAGACATTAAGGGTCTAATAGACACCTAATGTCATTATATAGAGCCCAGTCAATGGCATATACAAGATATGGCACATGCCACTTGAAGGGGGCACTGTTCCTGGTAAGTTTGCCAACTCACCGATTTTCCCAGAGTGCCCTTCTGATGTAAAGGGGAGGCTCTGGGGACTCTAATGTGAGGGGTTAATCTGGGGACTGTGATGTAAGGGGGACTTTTTAATTAAAGATTTGAGTTGATATTATATTGCTTTAGTTGATATTATACTAAAGTTATCTTAAATATGGGTGTCAGATTTTGGATAGGTGGAGAACGTCACCACCTCACCAAAATGATAGTTACTGCAACCAAGTGCTCATTTATTGAAGAATGCTGTCCCTCATATGCAAGCGCCTTCGGCGACAGGGTCCCCCTTCACCAGGCTCCTATTTCTTGTTAGATTTTGGATAGGGGCGCAATTTCAGCGCTTGCCACTATTTTCTGTAGCTATGCCTCTGACCCTGAAGAAGCCGATCAAGTACAGGTCATACTTGATCAGCTTCTTCCCCAACCACTGCAGTCCGGTGACAGCTCAGAGACTGGAAGTGACTAGATGCACATTGCTTTCCGTTTGATTGGGTGCAGAGATGATCAACGAATGGATGTTCATTGATTGTGCTCCCTGCTGACATTGGACACGCCAGTTCTGCGCCTGCATGAGGGGTTGCTGAGCCCCGGATACATGGGGGGGGGGGAGTGGGGAGTTGAGGGAGGCAGCACCTTGGGGGGTGTAGCAGTGTCCAGCTGGCTGTATCAAAATCACTTCTACCAGAAAGATGACAGTTTGCTTGTTCGATGTGTTTAAAGTGGAACTTTACCCGCCAATTTAATGTCTACCAAAACAATTATTTTTAAGGCATGGCAACTATCAAGGTTGTGTGCTTATTTCAGCTCTCAACTGAACTTTCAAGCCTTCCAATGGCTGGTGTCCTAGCTAATCACATGTGCAGTACCATGACAACTGCAACCCATATAGAGGCCAAGATGGCGCCTTCCTTGGCTGTAAGGGATAAGAGGTTGTAGCTCCACTTTCAAAGCCCGTGCTACCATTAATGTAAGGTTTACATTATTGGCAGCGAAACAAGAAGCCGCTTTTACATGAACCTCACTTATCTTACAGATGGACGGGACTCTGGACACATGGACAAATCCGATAATGTACCAAAGTGGATTCACTCCTGGATCAGTCATAATGAAGAGATATTGTGTTCACCGGAAGCTGGGGAGCGGCTCCTTCGCCACTACGTACCTGGTGACAGATGCAAAGGATGCTGAGGCTCAGTAAGTCCTATTCTGTGTGCACAGAGTATGATGGAATAATGAAGCATTTAAAGGACAACTCCTCCAAATACAGGAGTCTAAATACACAGATGAGATACATATATGGGAGCTTTTGTACCTGCCAAATTGTATTTCTGTCCATCCAGTCCTGAACAATTTCCTATGTGCCGCAAGCAGTGACCAGAATTTTCCAGTTGCTGAAAGACTCCGGTCACCACTTATGGTGTGAATGAGCCCCTTCCTGTCCCAGAGACACGGCTGTCCCTCATTGGGTCACGCTGGGGGGCGGCAAGCCCGTTCTTAGCAACTTGTGATGCTCTGGGTGGTGTGACACCTAGCTCACTGACGTCACTGGTTGCCAGGAGCTGAGCGAGATGCTATAGCTGGCATCCCACCCAGCTCCTGACAACCAGGTGAGCTGGGCGGGATGAAGTGCACATGAATCTCCCCAGAACATCCACCTCGAGCTTCCGGCACCAATCACCCCTTCCCGGTACGTGCACAGAGAGTAACTAACTAACCCCCCCCGTCGGAGACATGTATCACGAGTACCCCTTAAACCCGCACACACACCCAACCCGGCCTCAGGCAGCAACACTTTTAGGGGCCCAGAAATACCAAAGGGAGAGGAAGTCTCTATAAAGAAAGTGGAATTCCCCCACTGGAACAGGTGTCCCCACTGCAAGACTAGCCCTCACCTCCTGCTATGGTGACAACAACAAGTTTGGGATTTCCCCTTACCTTGTGTCACAGTGATAATGGTCTCCTGGGCATGGACGAAAAAATGAAACTCCTGCGCAGCAGTAAAAACTGCCGGGGGTTCTAATCCTTCCTTCCTATTCCATCAAAAACAATTTGGGCGACACGTTATTTTTAATTTATAAAGCGCCAACAATGTACATATTGCAATCAGTGCCTGCCCTAAGGAGCTTACAATCCAAGGTCCCAATATCATATGTAAATAGATTTTTTCCTTTGTACATTGGAGGTAATGCCCTGAGGTCAGTTCTGCTGCGTGCATTGGTTCAGGGTTAGTTCACACCATAAGCAGTGTGTTCCGGTCCGAATCGGGCTGGAACGTACTGCCCGCATTGCGGTCGCCTGCACGGGACCGCAAGGCACATTGTGTCTGCAGTGCGTTCCGGTGCAATCAAAATAGTGCTTGAGGGAGACCCGCCACGCCCCCTCCAGCCCGACAAAAAAAAGTGAGCCGGCCGCGATGCAGTGCGCTCCGGCCAGACTCGGACCAGAAGCAACTGCCTATGGTGTGAACTAACCGTAAGAGTTCATTATATATACATTATATACGCCAATGACGGGCCACATACGCGTACAACCTCCCACATTGTGTGCGTCACATTGCTCCTAGTCATGTATAGCGTTGCTCATTGAAAGGACATCACAAATCATTCATTTTAGGCTATTGTTACAAAGACATCAGCACTTCGTTCTGTGGAAATAGATGCAAAAAAAAAGAGTTTTTAGATGTATTAGGTTTATTGTATGTAATGTAATACTGCATTTTGGCCACTAGATGGCGGTGAGGACCATAGGAGCTAAGGATTTATTTATTGTGCTCCCTGGCTCCATCTAGTGGCCATAATGCAGTATTGCATGGCATTCAACCTGAAAAGAACATCTAAGAACATTCGTTTTTGCGTCTCTTCTAACAGAATGAACATTTAGAAAGATTGGGGGGCGAATGGCTTTGCTAATTGTTTATAAATAGACCCATTTGTGTCAATTGACCATAACAACGATTATTTATTTTGCTTGTTATTACTAAACCAGAAATGCTCAACATGTTTAAAGAGGCACTGTCACTTTGCCCAATTAGGGTGTGTTTCTAAAGAGCCCTCCCCATGCCCTTGTTGTAGTCACATTTACAGTGAACCTGCAACAGCTTGCCTTCTGCCTTTACTGCAATTGGACAGAAAACCTGGTGATTCCGGGTAAGGGGACCATGTGACCTCCAGCCATTGTCAGCACATATGTCTAGCTGCCAATCTGCTGCTGATGGAGGGGGTAACGTCACCGCTCCCCCAACCCCCTACACAGGGGATTCATTGCAGTGGAGGCAGGAGCAGGGTGGCTGGTAATGAGTATACGTTGGGTTGGGTGGAGGCTTTAGAAATCACGCTAATGGGCAAAGTGACAGCGCCTTTTAAAGATGGGCCCCTTTATGATAGGAATTGTGTTCTATGTATCAGTTTCTCTTACAGTCCCCCCTAAAATGTGTTGTTATGAACACTCCATGTCCTTTTAAATTGTATCAGATTTATCATTGGCTACAATCTTATTCTTCTGTTCTGACTATATTGGAAGCAGCGGAAGTTCCCCATGAAGCTGTGGGAGAGTCTCTTTTCCCAGAGCTGAATACGTTCCTGTCTTCTGTAAGCCGTCATACGCTCTATTGTCTCCCTGCGCTCTAACAGTTGCTGTGATGCAATTCCCTATTGTCTGAAAGTATTATGTAACCGCTCAGCCGTATGACTTGTGAGCTATGAAGAACCAGTCTCTCAGCTACATACAGCGTGACTGGATCCCAATGGGCCTCCTGGTGTATGTCTTAGGGCAAAAAAATATCCGGTTTAATTGTTCCTGGAAAGCAGAGAATTTACAGAATATGCTGCAATGATCAGTACAAAAAATTCCTTAAAGAGAACCTGTCAAATTACATTGCAGGCAAAAGAACAGAAACGGTATTTTAAATGCTTACTTGCAACGCTTTTCCTTTCCATAAATAATTATTTGTTGACTTCCAATGTGCCATAGAACTTGCTCAAGAATGTGACTACTCCAGCATGAGTCTATTCCCTAGCACAGCCCCCTCCATCTTTGGATGTCATAGCCTTCTCCTTTTCTAGGAGTGTCTAATTATTGTCTGTGCTAGCCCAGCTCCTCTACTACCCTGCTACATAAAATTTTATGAAGCTGCCAGGAAAGGACCGTAAGGGGAATACTATAAAGAGCCACTTGTGTTCTGGGGCTTCTGACAACACATCCAAGATGGTGGAGCCCAGCAGAAGTCTCGGGTCTTTTAGATATCTACACAAGGGCGGCTTTTACAGGTAAATGAAACGCCTAAAAAACATGAAATGCACATGTGATCTAATGGGAGGATTTTTGTTGAAATGAATGGTCTGGCCACAGGTTATATTTAGAGAGACACTCAATATATAGGGAAAGATTGACCACTTCCTGTCAGCGTGACGCACATATGTGTCAGCACAGCGGGTGGGCTTTATATACAGAGATCTGCATCCAGCGGCCCAATGTTGAGTGCTGATAGTGTACTCACCTGCATGCGCCCAGCACAGTGATCAGGCTTTCAATGACAGCTTCAGTTCACCGTTTATGATCGCAAGTCGGTGGGATGGGCTCCCAATCATGTGACTGCTGTGACAGCCAATCCCAGCTCATAATAGAAGTCACCATCGCCAGCACTCGATGATGTGTGCAAGTAAAACACCTTTTTTTAAATCGTCACATGCGTCAAACAGCCAACGTTTCGGGGCCACGCAGGGTCCCTTCTTCTGGGCGACATAGTGTCACTTCTTGCACACATCATCGAGTGCTGGTCACCATTATGCTGGTGCTGGTCACCATTATGCTGGTGCTGGTCACCATTCTATTATGGACTTATCTGACACAGCACCATCCGTGTTGTCACTTCAAGCACCAACCTTTCCTTCGAGGTCTGTACGCTGTGTGGAGTGCAGGTGAGTTCATATTATTGAGCCAATCGCAGCTAACGCATGATCGGGAAGTCTACCTCCCGTCATTCAGAACTCCTTCAAAGGGTCTTCTCTTTCCCGCAAAGCTAGAGCCGCCACTAAAATCTTCAGCATCCAACACTTTCAGGTGTGTTTGATGCCTATATCTTACTGCTGCCACCCCCCCACTTGCTATATCACTAGGGTGTCCCTTTACCGAATGATTCTGATGATTTTGCATAATGAAGCCTCTCTTTAACCCCTTCCCAGCTGGCGGCTTTCATTTCCAGCTCTCACTGACATTCAGGAACCAGAGTGGTTCCCAATCATGTCATCACTATGTCAGCTATGGCATTATGATCCCCTGCATGCTGTAAGTTTCATTGAAAAAAAAAATAAGACTTCCATCTGCAAATGGCACTGCAGATGTCACTACAGCCCGAAGCAGGCAGCGTGAATATGTTGAAAATTGTAATTGTTAGATACAATTACA